ATGTGATAACACTAGCTAAATTGCTAGGTCATTATTATAAATTAGTTACTAACTACAATGATGTACAGTCTATCTATATTTTATAGGACGTTTTATTTTAGATTTTACATCAGGTAACTAAAAACGCTTGACCGTTCTAAAAATTATATTATGGATATAAAGTTACATGAAATACCTAAACTCTTTCTACACTACAGAAGAAGTAATAAACGGAAACGATTTTTAATTACGAGAAAGTGTTATGGTATACGTCCATCTAGTGCTAGAAAGTGATACTATTCATAGATTTTTACTTATAAGAGTTTTCATGATTTTTCCGGTGTAAGTATATATATGCATAAATATTAGTTCAACAAATAAAATTTATAAATAAATAGGATAAGTATTAAAGAAAAAAATTGTATATATAGTAGATCATAGAGAAGCACGTTGTATAAACTTTGTATGTAATGATATGTAACAATTATTAGAGCGTGGAAATTTGGGAAATTTTATGATAAATATTTTGGTAGTCCGAGGTACAGAGCTACTTTTTTTAATAACAAAAATAGTAAAAAGAAATTACAAATTAATGTATGTGAAAACAATTGCACATACAAAAAAACAGTTGAATGTTTTCAACGCATCTCAGTTCGTTTATTTAGAAAGATTTACTGTAAAATTTTACAAACTTTTGTGCCTTAATAATTATATACACATATATTAAAATAAAAAAAATTAATGATGTAAATATGTATTATTATAAATTAATACAGAAAGTGATAAATATATTTAATATGATCTAATAAAAATTAGTAAGAATTAATAAAAGTTGATTAAAATTAAAATGTTGAATAAAGAAATTACCATATCGATTAATGAATATGAAAATATAAAAGAATTGGTTTTTGAAAGGCATTAAAACTTATTTCAACAAATCAAAGTGTTATTTATTTCTAGCTTAAAAAAAGAAAATTTTATTTTAGATTATATTAAGCAATCTTGCCTACAAAAACATCCAAAAAATATTTTATGGATATAAAGCTTAATAATACGTGTAAATCTCGTATACTTTGAGAAAAATAATAGAAGCATGTGATATTTAATTACGAGAAAGTATTATAGTATATATCCATCTAGCGTCAAACAGTGGTATTTTTTATTAGATTTCAGTCTTCTATACAGGGTGTTTTATAATGTCCGTGCCAACGCTTGTGTACGGATAGAGTGCGGTAAACTGAATAGAAAAGTCCTTTACCGTTTTGCAATTTTCGCAATAGTAATTGAGATATTAATTAAAAGGGATTGACGAATAATCGCGCGTTGATCGCGGCTAGATCGTAGGCTGACG